GTGTGACTTTCAAAATAAAAAAAATGTAATAGCAAAAAAAATGTTTACGAACAAGGGAGTAAAGATAACGTCTTCATCTCACCCTCGAATGTGCCTTTTGTTTTATTATCAAAGTTGAGCTTACCGTTTCGTTTGAAATATGTCTCCGTACACAAGTAAATAATACAATATGTTAATAAAAAAATATGTATAAAACTGTTAATATGGCAACGAGACAGCCCTACTATAAAATTGTATATTATAAAGAGCGTCGAAGCAGTGAAAAAGTAACACGGAGGTGATGCAATTGACTATGAACTTATGTTGCATTGAAGTTTACTACAAAATCTGCCTTTGGTAAGTTTGAGTCTGGGTAGCTTCTAAGCACTTATCATCAATAGCTTTAATAATAATGAGTTTGCCATTCCCTAAGTAAATAAGGTTTCCAAAAAAAAAAAAAAAAACAGTAAAGTATTTTCAAGTACTTCCATACACAATTCCATACTTTTTCATTATTTTATGGTAGTATGTCGCCTTCAATTATACAATAAGTAAAGTTTGAACGTAATATAATTTTTTTTTTGTCTAATCCTAAACAATTTTAAAGATATTTAGAAGAATGACCCCGTTTTATTTACCTACTAGGAAAAACTCAACGGATTGTCTGAAAAATACATGTATTTTAACCTAAAAAAATATTTGATAAGTAATGTTGACAAAATTGATTAGTTTCTATATAAAAACAATTTCAGAGCATGATGCAATTTTTCGAAAAAATACTTGAAGATTTTCTTTTTTGGTAAAAAACTAGAATGTATTCTTAATAAAAACGAGAAATGAATAATACATACGTTTTATGTATAATTAAGGACATTTTGGCAATATTTACAGTTACACAGGACATTAGTGCATTTACAGTTAAACAGGACTGGACAAGCCGAGCAATCGTTTTTCCAAAAAATTTGGACAACCATATTAATTTAGTAATTTCTACTCAACAATGCCAGATGACTGGGATGTCGCTGATTCCACAAAAAACCTTAAAACGCTTTTTCTTAAAAATGTATTTATTTTCGTTTATTGTCATTGTTTAACGCATTGATTAGTCCCAAATCAGTCTATCCCTCCTCTCCGTTATATAATAATGATTACTAAAGCGAAAACAAAAATTACTTGTTAATATTCTACACGGCTAATGTGTGCATTGTCTTCATACTATGTTGACCCTGTAAAACGATATCGTGCGTCGGGTTCGCATTTAACATTTTCACAACGACATCATCAGTTGGCCGTGAAAAGTATTAGGTTTCGCTGTTTGATTTGTTTTTTTTTTCATTTTTATTTTCAACCTAAACGACAATCACAATTACTGTCATTCTAGCCTATGACATTATAAGCGTTTCGTGTATAATCGATTGTTTTTTTTAAGAAGTAATATCTGATAATTGGTACTTGGTAAATAACTTTTTTAAATAATCAGTAAATTGTAACTCTGCTGACTTTGAAGGTTATGAAATTTAAAAAAAATTATTATTTTATAAGATATTATTTTTTTAACAAATTTATTTTGGTAGAGGAACAAATTGTAATAATGTGTTGTGTGTTAACATCACAGAACCACATCCGGGTAGTAAAACCATGCGGCCAAAATGCTTAAAAAATTAAAGTTCGTTTTAAGAGATTATAAAAAATCTTAGGAATGTCGTTGAATTAATTGAAATAACAAAAATACTCTCGACTGAGGCAAGTCTGTCAACATTTACAAGTAGTATTCACCAATTTTAAAACCTATTATTGTACGGGCACATATTGATATTTTTTAGCATAAGAAAAATCCTATCAAAATGTCTTAACCCAAAACATTTTTTTGTAATACTCGTGATATTTTGTGTAAACGCCTATTCATTTAAACTGAGTCAACTGTATGGTTCTAGTGAAATTAGATGAATTTGTTTTAAAAACTGTACAATTCCCCCGGAGACTGGTGTTGTTTGAACACCAGGAAACGGATTTGCTGTCTACGACCAGAGTCATCGCTAAGGATAAACCCAATTAAACGAGCGCCAGTTGTGTTTATTCGGAGACCGTTTATTTGCACATCATATTATTACTTGCAGCTGCTGGCTGCGGTATAACCCTCCAGCAGTGTGGTAAAATCGTCCAGACTTACTCTCTAAAATCTGATTCGGCACCAAAGGGAATCACGTATACTAACGTCAGTGTAACTAGCACACAAACCGATAGGATCATCCGTCGTCGAAGGTCTCCTCGGGCGACCGTTTCCGGGTATAATACCGATTTCCCGCACACCAAGACAATAACAAAATTCGTATATAATCGCGAGTCTTCCACGTAAGACGTGCCACGCATAACAACCGTGATAATGCACTGACATACCTAGCAATGATAACAATAATTTTATAGCAATAATCGCAAACTGGTACCGAAAACATTATGCAAATCGTCTTTGGCAAGCTCCAGTCGTGCTACCACGTGTCCCTTCGTGTACCTACATAATATTATATTCTATACCTCTCACAAAAGACTCTTGAATAGTTAAAGCACATAAAAGGAATCAATTAATGGCGCACTGAAGAATAATATAGTATTTTGTACGTAATTAAAAAACGATCATAATGGAAATATATTATGCAAGTTTGTGTAAAGTACAAGCCGTTTTCTATCCGTTACACAAACTTTTAACAAGCAAAATACCGAGAAAAAGGTCTATGCGACGACCCGCTTGATGAGATAAGACAAAGATGATGGTAAAACATTCAGGTCTATCTATAAACTGCTTCTGTCTTTGGTCGTCCAATCGTTATAGTAGTACTGCTTCGGTAATGACCGCTGTGTGGAACTTACGTCAAATTTATATTTTTAATATTGTCCGGCGAAGCAGTCTAGTCCCGAGGCAAAATCAATTCGAGTTATTGAACATTATAGCTGACCTTTGCAATGTTAACAGGACCGATTCAAAACGCCCAATGTAAACGACTTTCTTAACTACCTACTCAAATCGTCCAAGTTACGGTTTGGCATTCACGTGTCATTAAATAGCTAACTTAATAAAATATATAGAATTCTTTACATAATAGAATATATCAATTTATATCTTTTTGTTAGAATGAGTTTTCTTTGTAAAATATTGTAATTTTGTAATTGAAACGGATATGCCCGCCGTAATGTTATTCAAAACGAGTTCAAAAATAATAGCTCAGAAAACTTCTTTTTATTTATTCAAACAAAATGAACAAAATCCAGACATTCTTTTGACGTCCACGTCAAAGCACACCATGTTGCAAGCTATACACTTAAGTTTTGCCGGAAAAGAAAAACGTTACAAATGAACTCGGGAAAAAAGAAAAACAAATTACGAGCAAGCCAAGTTTTTCAGAAATAATTATTCATTAAGAGGTTTATTTAAAAAAAAAAAATAAATAAATGATCGTAGCCTGAAAGGATTAAAACTTAACCTTGTTTACGAATATTTTTTTTTATTTTAGATTTTTATCTCGGTTCGTGTTTGAAAACGATAACTCGTCCCGAGCAAGTAAATAATAATATTATGGTTAAGTGCAACAGCGACGCCCACACCAACGTCTTTGGCATAATGATTTCTGTTCGACTGTGATTAGGTATTTTGCATTACAGTACAATATGCAAGCGCACACGCTTAAATTTAATATGCTAACAACGTGTGTAACTTATGTTTAGTTGACCTTAAGTCAGGAAAACTTTAAAATAAAAAATGCTAGCAACGCAAGCGTTTGGTCGGCCAATAGGTGAGCCTAAACGTCTTGTAGTTGTGCCGTGACCACAAACTAAGTACTTCAAAAGTAAAAAAGTATTTTTTTTTTGTGTAATTATGTTGCTCCGCTCTTTTTTTATCGATTTTTCGGTTTTTCAATTATTCATAATGTCGAGTGAATGTAACTCTCGTGTACGCTACTATATACGTCGTACTACTCAATATAATTTGTATTGTTTTTGTTCAAACAAGTCAACACTTGGGCGACGTTTGTCATGTGTTATTAAAGTTTTTTTTTTACAATATTCTTCTTATTCTTCGCCATTCAACATCCCTACTGATCCCATACCTTCACTGTCCGCGTTTCTGTATCTTTCACCTTATTTTTTATAAATAGTCTCAAAACAGTTGAATACAAAATATTCATAATTATGACAACGGCATAATTAACATAAGTGTCTCACGCTGGTCTTGTCGAATGCAGCTGGTATGTTTGTTAAACGGCGTGAATTTTGCTTAATTTTCTTTTTTGTCTTACAATTATTACAATCAAAACGTTTATGACACTCAAATGGTTTACAACGCTAACAACTTTGCCCATACGAGTGTTATCTGAAATGCGTTTGTTACGCAAATTGTTTTCTTAATCGTGTCAGTACGAATTTTAATACATTTTATTTCAATTTTAAAAGCCATCAAAATTATGATGTTTCAGGTGTAATTATAATTTGTAATTCCCAGTCGCTAACAGCAAACGGTTAATGTAGCCGTTGAAGCCTGTTAACGTTTAAAATATAAAACTGCCCGAGCAATATTATGAAATAATTTAAAGCTCCAACGCACAGTGCCTATACTAATACTGTCGGTGTAATAATACAATATAGTTTAAATTCGTTTGCCTAAGCTATGTATCGTTTGTAACGCAATTACCGACGTTCACGTATTATTGGGAAAACGGCTTACGTGCGAGGCGACTGTTATTATGTTTTCAACGGCTATTATTATTGTTATTTGAATATTAATAACCGTTCTGACGACACGTTAATTGTTCTAAGTATAGAACAATTATAACAGATCGGGCAAAAAATAATAGTATAATATCATTACAATAACCAAAACAGTTTAGCCTGAATACGGTTTGAACAAAGTCAGTATAATATACAATACTAGTATCTCGGGTGGGTAAGAAGCCTGACGGTAAGGTATCGAGCACACTTTCTTGATGCGATTTGCTAGCGTTTATGTGTTTAAAAATATGATTTGAACTCACCATGTGCAACCAAAATATGGGCATTACCATCCCGTCGAATTTCATTACCCGTTCGATCGCATCCGTCGTTTTGACGACCAAATTTATTTGGACTTTAAGGTTGGCCTCCAACGGTATGCCGATGTCCTGTAAGAATACACATGGAAATTTAAAACTTGACTTCAAAACGGTTAATAAATAATAGTTATTTGATTTGCAGAATGTTTGGAAAATATAATATATGTTTAACAGTTTTCGTTGTGCGCTCAACCCGATTTGTGGTAAAACTATATATATATATATATATTCCAGAAACTTTTACAGGGTTTTTTTTTCGTTTCCACAAACTTAAATGTGCACCGCCGGCTTACGTGACTTCTCACACACATGAGCATAAACGTGAGTTCAACGAAAGTTTTAAGGGGCAACTTTTATGTATTATTATAAATTTATGTATACGTCATGGAAAATTGCATTACCGGTTGTATGGCCACCAGCGATTCGTGTTCTTCCTTTACCGGCGAAATGCCTTCAACATTGTCCACCAGAGAAGGATCACCGCCGTAGAAATGAGGAAACGAAACGGCCACTGGAATATCTATAATTCATATAACAGCTAAATAAATCATCAAAACTAAAGTAAGTATACAAGCGAAGCAAGCGTCTAAAAGGAGGAAAGGGGGAAATAGGCCTATCGAGCTCTCAAAATAATTGCATTAACCCAGCTGGCATACCTTCCAAATAGGACTTTCTTTAACTTAAACTCGTATGAAGTCTTTTGGAGACTCATAACTTCTCAAGTTACTATATAGGAATGGAACTTTAGTGACAGGGTGTTCATTAATTCATTATTATCACGTCTCAAATAATTTGACTAATCTAAATGGTTATTTCAAAAGTTGTGTTGGGTCAAAATTTACACATACTGATATAGTGATTTGGTAAACCCCAGAATTTTCGTCACACGTGGTTAAGTTAAGACAATAAAAAATAAACTGGGTGGAAATGAAATGTATTTTGTTTATAGTTAATATCATTAATAACACATTACTGGAGCTCGGTGAGAAAAATAGTCTAGAATTCTAGGCTAGAGGTAAAACTTCAGCGAAGCCACATTGGTGTATAGAAGTGAGTATTGTGTATAATGCGAGAGTGATAAAAACAGAATGGAAGTTGAAATGAGATGGTTGAGACGGATGTGTGAAATAATTATATTAGGCTAGGTTAAGCGTGTAAGAGAAAATATGATATGGATTTGCACGGGTGATAATAGTTTTACTTCAAGTTGCCTTGGAAATAGCAAAATAAAATCTAAATTAATTGCTCGTGTATTTTAGCACTGAATGATAACAAGTCACAGGTGGGGCTTATGGTGTTTACTCTTCTGCACGTGATTTCAACGACCTAATTGTTTTATGGCTATTAGTATTCAAAAAGCATGTCCGATTAATCGCTAGAACGCGCAAATATATTTTGAGTTTAAACTCAAATTTCGCCCCACTCTTCGTGTACAAATAATATACATTCTATGACAGCGGATAAGAAAGAGTTCTTATTGGCTTTTTTTTTACCGATATAGGTCGCGAAGATGTCTGGTAAACCGAGTTATTTGAACAAAATCCATACCTCTATATATATCACCATAACATAAATCCTTTCTGGTGTTTTTCCCGGGCTAGTCTCTTTGGGAAAATTTGACCCTGGTGATATTTTTCAAAATTGGAGCTTAATAATAATATGTAGTACTTACTGTAGTAACACGGCGACAGGTCGGACAGGCCGGCGGGCAGGCAATCTCCGTCCTGGCAGTAACATTTGTTTTGCTCGAGACTCGAATTAAAGGCGTCCATGGGAAACTTGTAAAAGTGCACCGGGTAACCGTTTTTTGTATCTCCAGCCGAGGTGTACTTCAACGGCAACGTCCGGCAAAACGCTTTGCGGTACATCGGGAAATGCATGTCCGGCGTTAAGTGTCTGGGAAAAACCACTCCTTCCATGGCTTCCTCCAAAGTACACTTGTTCCTACATAATTTATGAAGGTCACAATTGAAATTTGAAAATCGCATCTATCATGTACCAGACTTTTAATGGTGCACTAGCGTGAGTAGGGATAAATTTATATTAACACTTAAAACTTTCGGGGCCCACCAACAACCCGTTGGACATCGGCTAGGAGAAAATAATTATTCTGTTTCGGACCCGGCTCGAGTGACTCGAACAAATACCCACCCGTTAAGCAAACGGCTCTTCATTAAAGTTACATAATATTATATTATATTATAAGCACACTCAAAATGTCACCGAGCTAATCACAAAAGCGCATCAACGTATTTGAAGCCGGAGAAGAGGAGATTTTTATGAAATGTCAACAATACAAATTTAGCATCTCGGTTCGGATCAATATAATATATTTAGCACTATCGCCTCTAAATACTATTACTACACACACGTTTGCGCCATGATTTATTCCCTTTGGGCACAATGCACGACAACGGCTACATTAAACGTATTACCTTAATTAAACCCCAAATAATATAAGTACAGATAACCGCGTTTGCTGTTTAGTATACCGAATAAGCACGTGTAGCCGACGGCCAAAATCCCATTAAATCATCGTCGGCATACACTGTACGCCGATTCTATTACTGTGATCAAACGCAGCGCAGTAGTAATTAATTATTATTCTCAGTTGGTTTTAACGCGATTATAACTACATATATATACTGTATGGCTGCTGTCTTACGGTTCGTCGGGATGATTTTTGTCAACCCACTGAGGCAAAATCGGCGAACCGTTGAAATTGTCGATGCTGTACGAACGCTGGGTGTGTTTTTCAGACGGTAAAACCATGGTGACCACGTTCGTTCCTTCGTTAAGCATCTGGAAATAGGTAAATTATTATTATTAGTAAAAAAAAATAAATGTGAACGAAAAAAAATCAACAATAATAATAAAAACAATTACATAAAACGTGATATAAATCAACATATTTGTAGCTCTGAGAAAAGCTAAACGAACAACACAAGCGTTTTTAAAACAGGCCCCATCTTCGTCCGACAAAAAAAAAAACAATAATATTTTTTTATTTTTTATTCATATGTAATACCGAGTTTTATCTAAAAAAAGTCACGTTACTGGTAACAAAGTATGAAATTAATACTTCAAAAATATCGTGAAAATATGTTTTAACACTTCTGACAGTGAATCGTTTAAAATAGTTTAAATGAATTTTTTTGTTTTTAAATAAAACATTAATTTCTCTTGTACGCTGTGGGAAACAGATTATATCTTATCAATAAAAAAACAGCTATTAATTATTATTCAAGCTCCTTATTATCTTCGCCTCCATCATTATTATGTAATTGTATCATACTCGATTACACTTCAATACAACAATAATAATATATTATTCATCGCAATTATTAATAGGTCACATCGTTTATTAAAGTTTATTAACAATTTGGTTTTATATAAATAAAAAAAAACAGTGACAAAAATATTTCTGTAACGTAATATAAATTAATTTAAGTAAGAACTAGGTCAATATTTTTATAATAAATATAATACATAGTTGTTTTAGTTACGTACATGATCGATGTGTAACGAGTAAAATAAAATAAACTATACTGTCCTATTGTTGTGATAGTGTTAAATTGTTTGTAAATATTTTTGATTTAGAGCAAATGTTATGGCTGTCAATAATAATCAGATGTTTGTCCGAACAAAAAACAAATTCTAAATTAATCTGATTTACAGTGGTAATAATTTTAATAGAGCGAGTTAATTAAATGTATGTTTTATTTTTTTCAATTAACCAAAAAAACTGGAAAAACTACTAAAAATTGTTTTTTAAATCGACAACGTCTATTATTACACGATGTGCCGTAATAATATTGTATATTATTGCTGCAGTTGACGTTTATATTTTTATTACTTTTCATTTAATTTGAGATAAAAATTCAACAGTATGACATAATAATATTTTTAACGGCCAGCTCGGAGGGCTTTTATGTGTAAACAACCCTCTGGCCTCTGTCATCCCCGTTGATTATATATGTATGAACTGTGTACATAACATAAGACCCAAGTGATTATACAGACTGATTTCTGGGAAACTATTAGTACGGTGAACACAGTGTGTAAATAAAAAAGCAATAAAGTTCTTTAAAGAACTTAACAGTGAAATAATATCATAATATTATTTAAAATTTACCCAAAAGTAATGCGGATTGTGCGTGATAACATTAATGTAGCTGTTATTATACCCACGCCTTATTAAATAGCATGTAAAATTTAAAATCCAAATCAAGTTTATAATTTCGTTTAAATAACCCACGGCAACATTTGGATATAAGCTCCAAGACCACCATTTCTGTATGTAAATATACCCTAGTATTTATTTTGTACTTGTACTTCACTGGTCTGGCAACTTGTTAACGTCAAAATATGTTATAATACATTAAATTGCAAAAATCTAATGACCACAAGACGCAGTGGAGTCGTTTTAAGTACTTAAGTAAAAAATGATAAATCTAAGATGGAAACTCGTTAGTTTTAAGAAACAACATTGGATCACGAATATGTCATATTATAGTACCTATTAGAAGGTTCGTGTTCATTTTCCTCAGTTATCTCTTATCAATATTCTCCTCTATTTTCCTTCACCTGCTCTCCCTTAACTTGTCCACCGCTCTTGATGTCACAAATTTAGGTTAGGTTAGGTCAAACTTACGGTGAACATTTCGACAGACCCCCCCCCCCCCATTCATGTTAATATTTCAGCCTAGCAGCAATGACTATTGTTTTATAATCTTATTTTGTTTTTTAAACGGCGAGAGACTCACCCGATCTAGCAGGCCAAATCTGGGGAAATCAATCCAATTGGGCAGCACTTGGTTAGCTAACTTTACCAGCTGGTCGTCGTATCCCCAGAGGAAATCGTTTGCGGTTAACTCCAGGATGGGCTGAGAGTCGATCATGTGCACCAACGAGTCGAACATCATGTTGACGACCTTCGGACCGTTACGCAACACTGTAGAGAATCCCTGAAAAATACAACACATGCGATGAAGACGTTTTGAATAAAATATGATGTAATTAACACTATCAATTATTAGTATAGTTACCAGTAATGGCAAGTTGGCCACGAAGATGCGGTCAGTCTTCGGATCGCTGACCGACAAAGACCTATCAAAATGCAAAGTTCTCCTTGGAATGTACGTTATTGTACCGTTATCGTTGAACGTCACGTTTGTGTGCTCCAGCTCCTCCCTGATACAATATAAATTACATAATAAAGAATAATTGTTTAGTGTCACACAAAATCACACATAGTTGTCATTGCAAGGCGTTTTTTAAATTTGTACGAATAAAAACTTATTTGAAAATAATTACTTAGATATTTTTCCGTGTAATATATACAGAATTGAATTGTATTTATTATTTACATTTTCATTGTAAATAAAACAAAATATATTGAATACATTTTCTGGTTTGGATGAAGTACGCGAGTTAAACCCTTTCTTCAAAAACTATTTAAAGCATAGGTTCCCAACGGGGGCGGTATCGCCCCCTTGTGGGCGTTGGAGCTCTTTGTGGGGGCGCTAGCAGATCCAAAGAAAAATGGGGGGTATTATGACAGTCAAGGGGCGGTCGCGGTGTACCTACTTGATTTGAAGTTCAATATATAATAAAATACTTTCAAAATATACCTATCCATTTTTATGAAAAATATTTTACCTAGGGTTAAAGTTAAATCAAAAACATTCGGATAAGCATGGTGATGGAGTAGTAAACGAAGGAGAAGAGTGGATTAGTTTTTTAAGTTAAACTACTAATAATATTAATTATAACAAGTTTATTAATGTGGTCGGAAAAACTATTATCTAATAATTTCGATTAATTGTCTTGTTTTTGCTTCTACGAAGTGCTCCACAGTCTTCATCTGAATTAAATGTTTTTTTTATCATAACATGTATTATGTATTTGTATAAACAGACCTATGAAATTACTATAATAAATAACTTTTTTGAAAAGGGGGCGTTGGAATTTCTTTTTCTTGAAAAGGGGGCAGTAGTCCATAAAAGGTTGGGAACCTATGATTTAAAGTAATGCATTGTGTGATTATACTATAATTTGGTACCGTACTATGTGCGTTTTTTTGGAATTTTTTTTTTCTTCCAAATATAGATAGTGAAAAACTCGTGAGATTTTGAGGAATACCCGTATAACAGACAAATCTGTCTCCGTTTATATTAACAGTCGTACAAAGGGAACGCGAAAGGATTTAGGTCAGTGACCGTATAAACGTGAACGACCGAAAGTTTGAAAAGAAAATTGGACCATTTTTCATGGGAAAACCGCGTTATTGGTGTTTTTCGGCTTTTTCACCCTCGAAATCACCAAAAAGACTGTACAACGCGTACAATGTGCCAACCGCCGTTTTAACACATTCTATTCCAATGCCAATACGGATTCTAAGTGAATCGCAACCGTCGCAAAATCAATATCGAATGGTTTTCGGCATCGTTCCGGGTAAACCCAAAAGTAAGTAACGTTATACCGGATCACGGCGGCACAATAATATTATAATGAAAACGCAATACACATATAACATTATTGTGATCATCGCCATAGTATTACGTTATCACAGTTTGCGCCAACTGTACATACGATTTAAAGGGTAGTTTAACAATACTGATACTAAGAGTTTAAACTCTGATCGAAATACAAGTATAGTCGGTGGAAACGGCCATTATATATATAATACACAGGTGGACACACATCTTACCAGTATACGTACGGCCCCACTTCCTCGACACGGATTTTCTCGTCTTGGCCCGCCAAAAACCGCTCGTGGTTGGTTATGTTGAACATGTGCACGTTTATGAATACTTTGACCGGCGGCTTTTGCCACACCCGATAGATGTAAGAGCCTTCGACGAACGTCAATTTCTAAAAACAAAAAAAAAACGATAAAAGTTACCAAAACGATAATAATCGTTAATACCTAAAAACAATGCAGTGGCGCTTAATAATGTTGACTATATATTTTGTTATACTTCGAAATGTTTACATAATAACTGTTTTGAAACTAGTAAAGCTTAAATAAATATTATATTATCAATTATGCACATTTTAACAATTAATACACACGATTAGTTTAGTTGAGATGTTTCATATTTTATTTTCTCCTCCATTCTGTATATTATAAAAACTTCACACGACGAAAATCCACAGTAAAAAATCTGCATTTTAAATTGATCAAGCCTCTATAGAATACTTAGGTAAGTTAAGAATACTAAAGAAAACCTCTAAAGAATACTTTGTTTTTACGAAAAAAATTCTTATTCTTCTGACAGATTATTGGTAATGGTTGGTAAATTGCTAATTTATCAAATTTCTTTTATCGTTTTTATTAAAATTATAATTATTACGAATGTAATTTTTTTCTATATTATATTTTACACATCGACTAAAGTCTAATCAATTTTATTATAAAATATGTATTATTGTGATGAATGTATTTTTTTTATCAAATGTATAAATAATATGTTGCTTCAAACATTTTACTACATTAACTGCGTCAAATAGATTGCGGTTAGTTTGTTGGGATCAAATACGTGATAGAGACCAATTACAGATTCGATCTGGCCGTTAATATAAATTTATTAAAACTCGATTCAAAATTTAAGTCAACAGTTTGTTGCAGGATTCTATTGTAGTTATTAGAGCAGAAAAAACATATTGATATTTTCTATTTCGCTTACAATACAACCCTCTTGAGTCTTGACCTATTGACGTGGCAACGTTAATAGGATATTTGAACAGTACATAGATGTATGCCGGGTGGCAAGTAGAGGTCATATTGAGTAACATCCCATATAATAACTTAGAAGTAAGAATATTTTTGTACATTATCCCACCCCTGTTTTATAATTTTTAAAATAAATTCTAATGATAAATTTTCAATCACTCTATATTATCTTTTAAACGGTTTTCTGAGGTTTGACAGAAAAAATTATAGGTGTGCCTTATTTGTTTTATGATTTAAAAATAGTTAATACATATTTGTTATAAAATTGCTTAAAGAAGTCGATACAGTTTGCTATAATTTTCAGTGTCATTAATGAACAAGAATTGTTTAAGCGTTTCATACAAAATTATATGTCATTTAGGATAGTCTATATTGTATAACAATATATATCAAATTATCTGTAATTTAATGATAAAATGTTAAAACCGAACTTTGTAATTTATTAAAAACTGGTCAAAAATGGTCTTAAACTGACAATTTTATTGTACATTATTCAAATATTAGGTACAGATAAAAATGTTAAAAATATGTGCTTAATGAATTACACTTAAGTGTGTTTTGAACGCAATGTTTTAAAATAATTACAACTGAACAATAAACGACCGGAAATAATAAATTTTTAATTTCAAACTACCCTAGTATGCTATTTTGTGTTTTTTTTTTAAATTAAACAACAGCCGTGTACCGGTAATAACTTATTTTACCATAGGTACTAAAATTTAATTGAAATTGCGATGGTCGGAGAAAATTATGTTTTGATAGTTTCGCGTTGATTAAATATAATAAACCCGCTACTAAATATTTAATTTAAAAAAAACACTAAGTATCTTGTCGAACGGCGTACAATATTAGTCGGCATAACTTAAATACTAAATAATAATATTAATGTCCAATTATAATAATATTTAAATAAATATTAAGCATTATTAAAGTGTACAGTCTTAGTTAAAGTTATAAATAGTTTCGTACGTTATAATTCGTTTTTTAATGTTCAAAAATATGTTTTACTTACTGCTGTTTTGATAATTTCCACTGGATCAAAGAAATACATTGCGTACGATATGACGATGAGGCTAAAACCGACTACACTGAACTTGGTATTTCCTGAAATCAAAAAACGATTTCGAGTAAAAAAACGTTCATTAAAATAGGCTATTATAACTGTTAGGAAGTGAAAATTGTTACAAATTCAACAATTTCTAACAAAGTATACATAGTATACAAAGTAACATATATTACAGTATTCAAAGTAATATCTCGAGGTTTAAAAACAATGTAGAAAATAAATACAATTATAAACATCATTCTTGTATCGGTTTAATCGCCTAATTACTTTTGTATGAAAAGACGTTTATAAACTTTATTTACTTCTAAACAACTTTAGAACTTAACTCTTAACAAACTATATAGAACATAATTCATTTTTCTATTGGGGGAAATGTATAGTTAACTAAGATCAGTTTGAAACGTGCAAATAAAGTATTTTTTTCTTCTATAGTACTCTATTTTCAAACTACATCGAGTTAATTTCTTAACCAATTAAACTGGAAAATTTATTTTACGTTTATCATAGCAAAATAAAATGTGTAATAATAAATTCAACAATTTCTAACAAAGTATACTATTTCTCTACAATACCAGTAAAATCTTCAAAATCAATGTCCAATTTGTTATGTTTCAACATTGACACGCTATAACTTTGTACAATAAGGTAATATCTATTTTAAATGTACATGGGACATTTTTTATTAGGACAGCTGCAAACGGAATTTTATAAAAAAAATCCTCTCCGAGAAGTCTTGTTTGTTTTGTTTAATTTGTTTTTAAGTACAATGTATTAGGATTGAAAAGGAAAATAAATAACAAATTGGTAAATGTAATATATATTTGAGGTATTTTACACGTTCCTCGTTCAACTTTTGCAAACATAGATAAAGTATTTTAAATTGTTTTTAAACACTTGGTTGCCATTATATAGGTTAATGGCAAGGAATCCTTAATTTTTCATATCAAATCGTACCCAAGATATACATATTAGAAAATGTTGTGGACACAACATTATAAATATAATGAATAGACTTATGCGAAATAAGTGATAACACATAAATTCTTCGAGACATATTTTGAAGAAAAAAACCTTCAGCCTACCATTTCTTTGTATAAGGCATTTCATCGGGTAAAATATGTAAACTACCTTCGAAAACCTAGAAATAATGAACATGCTCAAAAATGGACTTAAATCAACTTCTTGGATTTTGGACGAGACTATTTAAGTAGATATCATGACAAAATGATGAGATACGTGATACTGTTCTGGTTTTTTTTTAAACAGCCATTTTAACGTGTTTCCTTAATTATTAATATTAGACGTTTTGTAAAATTACTCGGGTGCATCAATATAATGATATGATTTTTAAAACTACTGAATTATTCATATTGCCTGAACAAAATCATTAGCATGTACACGGTGCAAGCATAGAACTATTGACGAGGACTGCAATTGATGTGTTTGTTGTTACTTGAGCTAAGAGAAAGTGAAAATCGTCCTCTCATTCTCTAAACGCAAATAGGTTTAAGTAAAGTTCATACATCGATGCAATGTATAACGACACGGTGTTGACACTGACGGCCGATTGAAATCTTAAGAAATCTTTGCACTGACTGACCTTGCGGCTGCCCGGAATTGGGGACGATATTGAAATTCATAGAGTGTCCATAGCACAACATCGGATCAGAACGCACACAGTACAAAACCCACTTGCAGCGTTCCTATGTAGTAATAGACAATAACATTAAATTATTATGATGATACGATTATGGTTCAAGCATACTGCCGCCGTCTGAAAGAAATGATATAACGTTCAATGATTTACCCGTCGACCATAGAAACATATGCTAACAAGTAACACCCGAGGTCATGCTGTTTCTAACATACTGTAATTAAAAGTGCCGGAGACTTTTTTTTTATGGTTTCCTCGATCATGATCATTTTAGCAGATTTATCTTCATTGAGAAATTTACATGCAATTTAAACTAATCGACCAAGCAGTAATGCTGTAATAGCATTCCCTCGACAAAGGTCGATCGCTCATAACCGACAATAAAAAAAAAACATTGTATTCCTTATTTGTTGGGTTTTTTTGTGAACACGATATCTTAACTATCATCTGTAATGCACGTATTTAAGCCATAATAATCGTGTAATACAACCTAGGTTAACTCTGCGGATAGTTTAAAACGTGACAAGTGTAATTGTACAATAAATATATCTATTTTATAGTGTTTACCAGTGTAGGTCAGTTCTGACGGTTGTGTGTTTAATTAAAAATATGCGAAAACATTGTATTATGCTTAATAGGTTAACATATGGAAGTAAATTAAAATACATAACGATTATTTACCTTAATTTCGCAAATGCCTTTTGCCTTGAACGTCTTAATTAATCACCGTCATTGAAGTGTTTCGGGATGAGGCTACCGGGAAGTGAGTGTAGGGTGAGAAGAAGAATCGATAAGATAATATAACTGAAAATATGCTTAGAGAGGTCAAGTACAAAATTACCACTTGGCATATTTGTTACAAACTACCGTTGAGGTGTTTTACTCAGTTGTCTTAATTATTATACTTTTGTTTGCCGTTTAAACTTAAATATATTTAGGAAAATAGACACATTAACTTGTTGTTAAAAAACAAAAACCTAACACTAAATTGCTCTAAACTATTATGCTAATCTGATCGCCTGGTGGCTATTTGATATTGCGTTATTGCATCTAGTATTAATCAGTTAAAACTTATAATACATTTTTTTTAGCTTCGATTTGGAGCTGCGAAAGTATTGTTTTTACAATGATGAGTTTATATTATCAAACCGCTGATCCGATGTCTTAAGTAGCAACTTTTTACACCAGAAATCGTACCTAGAAAAATTACTCTATAGGGCAGACAATAACAAAAGTTCACCCCTTCTCCTTGAAAATCTAGAAAAACGCCCCAAAAATTAAATTTAAAACTACTTAAGTTAAACTTTTTTTTAAAATAGCCGACATATTTTCAAATTTATATGGATTATGTTTTAGTTCATCGATATAAAAATTCTTTTCTCTAGACGGGGTGGAAACTTGGTTTTTGTTTCTCTTTTTCGAGAAAAGTTTAAGAATTAAGGTCTGAAAATTAGAACCTATAACAAACACAATTTCGCACACAACACAATGCACACCTTCTTTTTATTAAGTAAAAAAACAAGAAAAATGAGGGATTTGAGCGTTGCTAATTTTCTAGGTTTCTGTGTGTGAGTGAAACAACAGTCAACAGATATTTGAAAATGTTCATTTTATTGTAAACGACGATATATGGTATAGCTTCGACAAGAAATTATTATAGACGGAAGATCTACCCGAACCCTTTCCCTCCTAATTCTCAAAATATAATTTTAAGCATATTATAGCTTTTACAATAGTCTTATCGATTTTCATATTTCTACTAGTTACAGCAACGCGTCGAAGAGTTTATTTGGAAGTGATTTTATCACATTCAGTTAATATAATTCCTAAAGACCTGTGATGTCCCGCACTCTAATATCCTTAAACCCAATTTTACCTTTTTTTTCTTATTATTTCTTACAAATGTAATATTACGATCAACGACAAAAAAGCATTTGACTTTGTACATGTCATTCGCAGTAAAAACTATTGATATCAGGCTTACATCAAAATATTAAAAAGTGATGAATACCAAAAAGGGGGTAAGTGAGAATTTTTTCAAAAAGAAGTTTTTATCAAGGATAAATGTTAATGATAGATGTTAAATAAATCCTTCTACTATCAGTATTTGTTAAATAATTTCTTAACAACTTTTAAAGAACTAATTAGTTGAACATTCTCCATAAAAAAAACCTTTAAAAATGTAATATTTAATGTACTTTTTTGAGCTGTACATTTTTAAAAAATATATTTATCTCTTTTTGGTATTTACAACTTCATAGTATCTTTCTGTACAACAACAGCTAAATTTGATTTTGGTTTAGTCGGTTAGGGTTGGTTAGGTGAAGGAGATAATTGACAAGATTGAGTTATTTTTTATCGACATCTTACTTGATATCGATGCTCTTAAAATATGTTGCTATTTCTGAACGGAAACGGATTGGTTTGAGCAAAAGCACGAGCATCGCATAATTTATAATTAAACTCACATTAATATTTATCATCAAACGATCAGAAATGATAGCAACGATTTTATATTTATATACAGTCATGACGTAGTGTACAGCGAGCATAACCTGGATAACAATAATTCCCTAGGGACCTTAGGTCGGCAAAAGGTGGTTTGAACTCCAAGGAAATTATACTAGTGTACTCGATGGCCGTTTCCCGGAATGATATTTTTACGAAGAAGATGATTAGCTTATACAAACAATTACTATTTCAATTATCCTTATAATCATGGTTGACAACCAGTTTTGAACAACTATTTTTAAAGTTATAAGAGTTTAACAGTTAAGACGGGAGGGGAAGTGTGGGCAGATAAAAGTAATACTACTCTCCACCTTTCCTCTTGCCCTAAACTTGAAACTTCAATAACTTTTCCAAAACTGGTTATCGGCCAGATATAATTTTTTGTACGTTATTGTCAATATAATAAAAAAATGAAATGTATGCGTTACCATTGAAATTAAAAAATTGGTATAAAAAAAAAATAGGTTTGGAGGGAGTTAGGAACATAAAAATGTAGGAAATTATACATTATATAAAAACAATTTATATGAAAAAAATCATTAATTAAACCCATTGTATATATATATATATATATATATATATATAATAGATAGTTCTTTTAATGTTAATTGGAATTGTCTTTGGTTATCTTCCGCGGCAAAAAAAGCGATTTTAAAAAATTGTTTATTTCATAGCACGAGTTTATCAGGAAACTAAAAAAGAACATTTTCTGCACGTGTGCACATCTTACACATGGCGATAAGAGGATTTGAAATTAAGAGATCACATAAGACTAGTTAAAATGTATTAATTACTTATTATTTACTTTATTACAAAATACAATGAGCGTTTCCAAGAATAACGATTAAATTACAAAACGTGTTTAACTTATCGCCAGTGTTGATTTTAGACGTTTCTATTTAATTAATTTTTTTAGAAGTTATTTGCCAAAGATTATTAATTGTTAGTTCATAGGTTTATTGTTTCTTTGTTTTCTGTATTTTATTTTGCAATATTTGATTAGAAATTAACTATTAGATAAAAAATTATATCGACAGAATGTTTAACTGGTACCTAATACTAATTAAAGAAATGCCTATTTTTACATAAAAAATAGTAATCGGGCAATGAGAACAAGATTATAATTCATATTAATTTTACTCGGTAATTTGAACAAAATGATTAGTTGCGATTTCCTATTTGTTTTTGTAATTTTATTACTAAAACGCGTTGGTACTATTTATACTTTAGATTCAAAGTTAAAATTTTAAAACATATTACAGTATTCAAGGTAATATCTCGAGGTTTAAAAACAATGCAGAAAATAAATACAATTATAAACATCATTCTTGTTCCGGTTTAATCGCCTAATTACTTTTGTATGAAAAGACGTTTATAAACTTTATTTACTTCTAAACAACTTTAGAACTTAACTCTTAACAAACTATAAAGAACATAATTCATTTTTCTATTGGGGGAAATGTATAGTTAACTAAGATCAGTTTGAAACGTGCAAATAAAGTATTTTTTTCTTCTATAGTACTCTTTTTTCAAACTACATCGAGTTAATTTCTTAACCAATTAAACTGGAAAATGTATTTTACGTTTATCAAAGCAAAATAAAATGTGTAATAATGCATTATGTTAATCTCAAGAGGGCTTTACATAGGTAACTTCTTTATATTTTTATTGAAAACCACCTATTCTAATTTGAACCATATTTTGAAACGCGTAATCCGACAATAGTTTTAGAAAAAGCTATAGACATTTCAATATTGCCTTTAAAAGGGTAAAAAAACTTCAGAATTGTAATTTTTCAAATATAAATAATAATTATTGATATTAAATAATAAAAACCCATTCGATAATAATAATTACAATAAATATAACACACACACAATAATATATTCATTTAAAACTATTAATTAACTAAAATTAATTTTTAAATTTTGCCATTATTGATGGCTTGTAAATGTTAGGAGAGTTCACATTTTTTTCAAAAGTCCTACAGTTCGAGGTAAAAAAATAATATGTTTTTGTAAAAAAAAAAATAGGGCCCGATATAAAAGTTGAACCAAGCTTACTATTATGAAACGTATGTATAAATGTATTGATAAGATGTTAATACAATTAAAAGAAAGTTCCTCCTAATAAGATTAAACGTAAATTTGCGATTACACCTCATAAAAATATTGACATTGATTATTGCGTATAATTATTTTATCCTAATAAAAATGATCGAATACTCCACAATATTGTACAATATCTTATTTAAGGAAAAAATATCATTTAAATCAGAAGTATCAACAATCGGAAAGAGTATCCTATAAGGCCTTAAGGGCCTTAACCCAGGTGAGAAGACCATTAGCGATTAAAGACCTTCAACAATAATTACAGGAAGGAAAACAACTGGACGCAGTACGTGACGAAAAAGAAAGACTGTGGAAAATCGTGATGGCAGCGATTGTCGCATCAAGACTCGCCAAGCTATTAATGACAATGTTGAAAATAATATTAAATATATATCTACAATTATTGTGCAGCTATTAATAAAATAATAATTGACATTTTACTAATATTTATAGGTGTATCGAGTGAGGACTCGCATGTCATCTAATGTGCAGGCACATTCTACGCATCATATCTGATGAACAGTTTGAATGTGAGCTATCCTCGAGATGTATGGCAAAGTGTTTCCAAATTACCAATAACTTATTTTTCTCTATTTTTAGCTTTAGGCAAACATGTATCTCCAAAAGAGTGCAGATGGGAGAAAAATAGCACTCTAAGAGTACTTGGAGATAATACTCCTAATAATTGTCTGCAAGTGTCTTTTCTCGAAAGATTTCTGGTCAGAAATTCAAAAAATAAAATTAACAGTACTTTTAATTTGTTATAATTAGTTGCTACGTTTCTTATTGGGAAACTCCCTTGGGGGTTGAAATAAGAATTTTCATGATAATCCCGGCGTTGTGGATAGTGCAAAAATATTCTTATTGGTTATATTTTTATAAACATAAGCGAAATGTAAAAATAAATATGGTGAGAAAATGCCATTGGCGAATCCCGTTTTTTTTTTGTATTATAGAAAAAATCAAATGACGTCACTGTGAGTATGTAAGTTGAGTGTTTTGCTCAAAATGATCGACACTTACCGAAAATGAATACGCCGTATCGCATTTCATCTGAGTGGAATGGCCTCCGGACAAACGTCTAGTCGAAGCAGCCGATATGGCCGTTGATCGGTTCGATCAAAGTCTTGCTTGACCAAGTATTTACAGTTGTCGGGCACCGTGTACGACACTGCGCGACATATGATCGATAGAGAGACACGCACAGAAACTGAATTTTGATGATGAAAGATAGTAAAGGAGAAAAAAAAAACAAATCTAAAAAACAACTTTTGGACACTAAAAAATATGTCGACGAGCTGTGGTGTGTATAAAATTGATACAAATTTTGTGTTTCGACGGCAAAGACAAAAAACTGACTGGCTGATGGATTCGTCGACGGCGACGACGATGAAATTTCAATCGGTGTTTGTGTATATGTGTGTGTGTGAGTGTATTATTATTATTTAGCCAAGTGCACAAGTATAAACAGTATTAATGCCGACGACGTGCCAATGCCTTCTGACCTTCGCCACAGAAAGAGAGGGATCCGTCACACGACACGTTCAACGCCGAGCCTAGGAGGATCCACAGCTCACAGTGTGCTACAACTACAATATCATATTTTATTGAAGTTGTGTGTCTTAAAACAATTTTTACTATATCAGAACAGCTACGGTACATCTTATCGTCCTTTGGCATAACGGCTTAGGATATCCGGTAGAGAGGAAGGAGGGAGTAAAAGAAACGGGGATGAGCGGAAGGGAGCGGTCAATTCCCTATCGTTTTTTTTTTTTAGATTTGCATATTCAAGTTTAATAACTTACCGGCCGAATGGACGAGCGGCGAAAATGGTGAAAACACACGGCGATAACCTTATCTATTACTCCTAATGGGCAGACGGCAATAGGTTTTTATACTACGACACGTATTATTGTATATTGCAACGAAAGTCAATGTAAAGGTCGGCCGTTATTGGATAACAGACAACACTCGTTCCGGTCGCTTGTACACGGAAGAGATAATCAAACGACCGAATGGAATTTATTCACCGCAAAGGTCAATGCTCTTGAAAAAATGTCTGAAAACCCTATACCAACACACGATGGCGTAATCGTGAGGTTTTCGCTAAATATAGTGTACTAGCTAGCAGATATCGCCTGTAAGTCTACTGTAATATGTTCTATGCACAAGGTATTAAAAGTCGCATTTATATTGTAGGTTCATTCAACCTATACTGCTCTCCTATACATCCATACCGAGTGCATTTACTTTTCGAAACTGCTTATCCGTAAACAAAGTTTACAACGTTTGTCTGGACGGCAAGCCATACTGGCACAGAACTGCCGAAAAATCTTACCAAATTGCATTACTCACGCTGTTTTGACAAATTTTTTCGGTCGGATAGTACCAAATCGGTTGGCAGTCAAAAATAAGCGAAAAGTACTCAAGGGGAAATAATAGTGAATATACTCCTTCCATTCCGCATTTGATACTTTTTGCTTGACAATGAAAACGTATTTTACAAGATAAAAAAAATTGGCACTTTGTGAGAGTGGCTCACCTTTGATTTAATAATTAAGATACCCCTGACCTCGTTAAAGAAAATGTCTAGGTACGCCCGAGTCACTGTGGAGGACTATAATAATTGAAAGAGTCAATCAATAAAAAAACAAATTTCAATTTGTAGACGATAAAAATATTATCTACAATACAGACACAAAGCTACACATTAATGTAATCGATGTAACCGAAGCTAAAATTATAATAAAGACAAAATTTGGTTGTATTATATATTTGTTGAGGTTTTTTTTTTTTAATTTTACATTTACAAATTTTGGATTTTTTTATAAAATATAGGCACATGCATATTGATCTTATGAAAATTGTTATCATTATTATGAAGATTTATTACTGTACTATATTTTTTTTAGCCAACAATTAATCGCTATTTACATATTTTATGAACAAATTTCAACCTCTTAATAAATATATTATACATTTTATAATAATATTGTAGAGACAATCAAATTATCATAAAAAGTAAAAAAATAAATTTTTAAGTAGCTAATTTACATAAATTAAACATTATCAATTTGATAAATATTTTACGATTACAAATAATTAATTGGTTAGTAGTATTCTACTAACTAATTAATACATATTATATATGTTAAAGATTTATAAAATAATATTTAGAGACTGGATACATTTTATAATTTAATTTCTTCTTATAGACACTATATTTGGTTCATATGAAAAAAAATATTCATAATTACCTTTGAGGGAAAAGGTTAAAATGATATTATCTAGGTTTTTGATTGTATATCTGACGTTTTTTACTAATTATTAGTTATATACTTATTGTTTTACTTAAATATGAACTGTCAATAGCCTTAAACCTAATAACTATTAGTGCATTATAGCCATTTGGAAATTATGAATGATTTGCTAGCATTATAATGGATCGTTCACAATATTCGAAAACATGCTTGCCAAATTACTAGAATTATAATAGTAGGTACTCAACCTAAGTAAGTATTTAGGTAAACAGTAAACGAGTAATTTGCGTGGATAAAACTTATAATATTACACCAAATATGGACAATAATTATTATTATTTAAAGCCTGTCAGTGAACGATAATTACTTTTAGTTGTTTTTATTTCACAAATAATAACCGATTGTTTCAAATAAATTTAAAAAAAAACGTATAGAAATATATTTTAAACTATTTTTTACGTTGATCTATGAAAAAATAATAATGCCATAATAAACTGTCGTACACAAGTAAAAACATTATTATGAAAATGAATACATATTGACTAGGACAATTTTTTATTTGCATATTTTGTCACTTATGTCAGTACAAAGTCAAACAATCTTTGTATAATAATTATATAACCGCACTGTAGTATATATTGATTTTTAGAAATAGAAATTCAGAGACTTCTCAATTGATATAATAATATTATCAGTGTATAAGAAATGGATAACAGCTGTTTTGTTTGGAATACAAATCGCGCATAATATTTTAATTAAATTAGTTTCGAACACATATTACAGATGTTAAGAACAATATTGTTGTTAGCTAGCAAATAAATAGAATTGATTGATTTTGACTGTCCTGATTGGCTTTATTTTATACTTGTGAAATACAATAAAGTATTAACAATACTTATACACAGGATATTTTTATTGCAGTTATTTAATGAATATTAAGTAGCATAACATCATTTTTTTTTTTTGGCTTGTGTGTTTTTTTATAGGAAGATGTCTAAAAAGCGGTCAATCAATATTATATAATTTCTTTTCCGTTACTGAATTTCTTACCAAACAAAATTTATCTCTATTACCTATTACTATAGTATAATATGTAATTTGTTACATTTAACAGTAAACAGTTTTGAAAAAACAGACACTGAATTCTTCAAAAATCTATATAGTACCTATAATTACAAAGTAAAACTTACAAAAATCAATAAGTATGTAGCCTTTCCTGCAAGTAATAATTTGTTATTTAACGGTTCAATATTTTATCAAAAGTCAATTTAGCTTCTTGAAAATGTATACATTTGTAAAATTGATCATTGACAGTAAAGCCATTTTTTAAAAGTTACATTGTTTTGGTCAACGTACACCAAAATCCTTGATAACGCTGGACAGTAGTGAATTAACAAAACTCAGTACATTTGAAACTTTTACGTTACTTTTTACCAATTTGTAATTATAAACGTTGAGTTATATTTATATTCCTGTTGTTATTAAATTGTTTCTCCAGTATATAACTAATAAGTTGAGTTCAGCATAATATGGACACTATACAGTACACATGCGTATGGATTAGTGACGTATATGATTAAGGCGTTTGCTATTTTGTGCTTAAAGTATTTTCTTGTCGTATAAACTTGAGCTCACTAATCTTAATAACGCTAACCTAAATAGTCTTAAGCCATTGATGATTATCTAAGAACGATTTTTTTCATGTAAACAAAACAATATCGAACATTTACCAAGCTACTCATTTCTATGTATTGCTAACGGATTTGGTACAATGACCTTGTTGCCAACCAAATAATAGAAATTATATCGTTTCAAAAAAATTTGATTGAAAACAATACTTTTTTTTTTTTTTTGTTTTTTATTTAGAATTTGTACAATCTGTAATAAATGTAATTACAATAAGAACAAAGGATAAATTACATGGTAGGCAAATATATAATAATACATTGATACAGTAGACTTGTTAGAAGAGGCCAGCCAGAGCTGGTACTTCATGACGTGTGAGATCGTGGATTAGTCAATCAATAGATCGCGACACCACGTTCGCTTTAGGCGCCTTCTGGGGTCACCAGGGATTGTGTGCACGGATAGTTCCGAGATCAGGGGGTTTTTATGGCTAAAGGTTTTGGAGTGTAGGCGTTTGTAGAAGGTTTTGGCAGAGTTAAGGACTGTTGGGATGGAGAGATCTTTGTGGAGGGTATCATTGGAGACGTAAAATGGGGCTTTTGTTAATAGACGGAGACATTTATTTTGAAATGTTTGTATTTTATAGATATTGGATGGTTTGGCAGCTCCCCATAGCTGGATGCCATAGGTCCAAATGGGTTTGAGGAGTAGTTTGTAAATTAAAAGTTTGTTTTGGAGGTTGAGGTGTTTTGTTGTTAGAAGGAAGCGTAATTGACGGAGGCGGTTGTTTAAGACGAGACGCTTAGCGTGGATATGAGTTGCCCAAGTAAGACGCCGGTCTAGGTGTAAACCCAGGTATCGAACATTTTGAGCGGTTGGAAGGGGTATGTTATTGAGATAAATATGAGGGCAGTCTGTTTGTTTTAAAGTGAATGTGCAGTGGACGAATTTAGTCTCGTTGATTTTTATCCCCCAATCTTTATACCATGTTGATAATAGATTGAGGTGATTTTGGATGAAGTTTGACGCCGTTACAGGATCGGCGTGGAGAAAACAATACTGAAAGAGAAAATCGACAAAATTGTATCAATTTTCTCATTCAGTTTTGACTTCTAATATCTCTTTCGGCAAATGTAATTGAGATTCATAGCTTTAAATTGTAATCAAAACGGATTTTAATAAGTCCTTTATATCGATATTGTAGCCGTTTTTATTAAACATTTTAATTTAGATAGTCACACACCTACTATGCATACAAAAATCATTTATTTTGAAAACACATTATGATAGAAAAATCAAATAGTAAAAACACAAAATATGTTGATTTTAACGCACAATTCAAATACTTAGTTAGTATTCGTGACATGAATATTTGATTTTTCTGCCAAACATAATTTTAAAATATATTTTAACTGTGTGGGTAAAACTTGGTTTTTAACCAATTCGTCAAAAATATAAATAATCGATCTCTAATTTTGAATACTGTTCTTTTACGCCAAGATGGTTCAGATCCTCAGAAAACCCCATTTCCCAAAACATGTTTAACACAAAAAAACAGTGGCAAGACACTTATTTATAAGTCATCTAATTTTTTATAATGTATACAATCTAAAATATTTAATACCTTTTATATAAATTAATCACAGTCCATGCGAACCTGACAAGGTAATTATTTACAAAGATGTGTTTTTTTTTGTCGCCAAAAAATATCTATT